ATTTTGCATTCCAAACCAGATGGCGTTAAAGGCAACACCCTGATTCATATTGGTGCTGTGCCCAGCATTTTCGAACTACTCTCTGCCTGTGAGTCCTTTAAGGAGATCATCATCACAAACTATATGGATCGGAACTGCCAGGAACTGCAGAAATGGCTAAAGAAAGAGCCGGGAGCATTTAACTGGACTCCGGTGGTGAAATACGTGTGTGAACTGGAAGGGGACAGGTATGGGGAGGAGACCTAGTTCTATTACAATTCAACTAAAAAAAAATGTAAAAATACCTTTTAATTTGTGGATCTTCTCTGGGGTACTTTTTTCCTAATAATTGTTATGTATTATGGTGGTGTTCAATACGTATAAAAAGAAAGAAGTGGATTGGATTGAAGTAAAGGAAAAATTTAAGAGAAGTCTGGAACCAGGACTCCCCTCCAGCTACCGCTAGCAAGGGATTCCTCTGAATTCAGCAGACTCAGAGCTTGAACTTGCAATGCTTACAAGAGGAAGGTTTACTCCTACAAGGGTAATTTCCCCCCCGGCAGAGTGGCAAACATTTCAGGATTAGACACCCCTTCACTCCCATTTTAGCCTTCAAAATGGGCTGTAAGCACTAGATATTCCAAACAGCTCAGCACACGGGGTGCTGAGCTCCTTAGATTATTGGCCACACTTTATATAATCTTCCATTTATATGAGTGGGCTATAAAGGGTGAATAAATGGTGAGTACATGTTTTAATAACGGGTTAGTCTATTGCTCAAAAGTGTTACAGGGCCCAACAGAGCAATAGATAGCTTATAAAGATTTACACCATTTTCTACAGATTTGCTGATAACCGAACATTTACGATGCATAGTATTTGTGTCTGTAAGATCCCTGTGTCATTATAAATGGGAGCTTCATATAAAGTGTGACCAACTCTGGATAAATGAGAGCAGAGCTCTTCTGAAAATCTGGCCTTAAGCAGGTGAATTGCACCCAACAGAGATTTCATGTGACTATGTAACTCTCATCCACTGAGCCGATTGCAGATATATTGACTGTGCATTGGTCCTGGATATGACGGGCTCTTTGGCACAACAGTAGCACATTTCTCTTCAGTGTTATATTTATCTTTCCAGGAACAAGTGGGCTGAGAAGGAAGAGAAGTTACGAAGAACGGTCAAGCAGGTTCTGGAATGTGATGTCACCAAATTCAACCCTCTGACTTTTGCCTCTCTGCCCCCTGCTGACTGCCTGCTCATGTGCCATAGTTTAGTAGGAATTTGCAATGACCTGAGTACCTACCGTGCTGCACTGAAGAATGTCAGCTCCCTGTTAAAGCCAGGGGGTCACTTGCTGATGGTGAACGGAATGAAGTGTAGTCATTTTGTAGTTGGCCAACACAAGTTTCCCTGCCTCTTTCTGGAGAAGGAGGTTCTGGAGGAAGCAGTGAAGGAGGCTGGTTATGATATTTTGAAGTTTGAGGTGACTCCCATATGCTATCCAGATAGTTTGGTAGAGCATGAGGAGATCTCTTACCTAGTTGCTTCCAAAGGGAAGGGCAAAGAAGATTAAAGAGAAAATACATCAGCCCAAGGGAAGTAGAGAGGCAGAATAGATTAGCTGTAGATGCTGGTAGGCCTGAAGCTCAATGTGCGCTGTGGATCTTTGATGACCTCCAAGCACCTTGGAGAACCAGTTTGTTCAGGATGCACTAGCTTGAACCCCTTGTTGTGCCACTAAAACTGCCCTCATCCCGGTCCTTTCCCACTCAGAGCTGCCATAACGTCTCCCGACATTGAGAACATGGCTCACACTTTACACATCGTCCTCAATACTGGCTATAACCTCGCTGTGATTTCAACATTGATCCGTTTGAACTGATTGGCTGGGGCCTGACAGCTGCATTGGGCCATGGTGTTGAATGAATGATTTGTCTTGGTGAATAATTGTAATCTCCACCCAATCGGTGCTTGCCTAATAAAGATCTGTTTCCCATATGCAATTATCTGTGGTTCCAGGTCTTATTATTAACTTTGCAGAAGGAGATTTACAGGTTAATACATCTGGATTTAAACTATAGCTCTATGTCTACTCAGGGATAAAAATCCTGAGGCTGGCCCAGGTCAGTTGACCAGGTCTCGTAGGGATTGGTTTCCGGGGCTGAAAAATTGCTGCATAGACATTTGGGCTTGGACTGGAGCCCGAGCTCTGGAACCAGAGCAGCCACAGCCATGCTGCAGGTCTTTTATCCCTGTGTAGACAGACCCTGAGTCAGTCCTCTCTTCTCTTAAGGGGACACAAGTGAAAGGATCTAAATTCTCTCCTGAAAACCCTCTAAAGCAGAGTCTCAATGCTGAATGTAAAAGGAAAGTTGAGTGAAATACCACTACACTTTTTCTCCTCCTAATAGGGGAAAATCACAGCCAATGTACACCTCCCACCGCTGCAGAATACAGCTGTAACAGATACCATTACTGTGCATTTGGCAGATGCATTCTTGGGGATCACGTATCACCAAAAATGATAACAGTGGCTCAGTGAGACCCTGTAGCTTGCTCACGTACTCTGCCCCAATGCCCCTGAAGCTTCCCCTTAAACACCAACTCAGGTATATTTCATTCCCCCTCTCTTCCACCAACAAATACTTTTCTGCTTCCTGTGGGTTCTACAAGAATCTATCTTGGTGTGAAGAATGAAACTCCCCAATGGATACATGAAGAATGCAATTTGCATGTGTAATAAGAGGTTAAAGTGTCAACCAGAAGGACTACTGGTATCCAACAGGATCAAAAGGCAGGACACAGATCCATTGTGTAAGATATAATGTTTATTCCCCCATTTAGTTTATATAAGTTTATCTCCCCGTTAAGCTACCAGACATAGGCAGGAGATAGTGAATAGAGATGGCTGAGAAATGCTTTCCTGTCATGGCCAAACTTACAACATTTCAGAAATGTTCCTGTTCCTCATTGCGAGGGACCTGAGACTTTTCAAGTTTTTCTCAAATAACTAGCAGTAATGAAGGACCAAGCCAGACTTGCCAGTATCCTGAGGGGTAAGGCATTCACCTGGAAAAACCAGGTTCAAGGTCCTGCTCTGCCTTATTTAAAGCACTGACATAAACTTCTCCCACACCCCCGCTGATTGCCCAAACCACCAGGCTATTAGCTATTCTTAGATGGTGAATCTCTGCTGTGTTTTGCTCTGTGTTGTCTACACCAATGCTACATTATAGCTGGAGATATTTTAACTGAAACATGATTGCAGACCTGGATTTATCTTTTATCAGAGAAGATTTTCTTAGTTACCTTTCACCCAGGTGGAAGGATGGAATGTGTCAGTCATTCTTGTTAACAGAGCCTGTCAGCACAGCTGCACTGAGTGTAGCATTGTCCTCCAGAAAAATGGCCAGCAACTCCAGTTTCTGCAGTGACAACATGACTGTGCCCACGAGTCAGGCAGGCCATCCAAAGTCAATGGGAGAGTATGAGGGGAAGCATAAAACTGGGGCCTCTCAGAGTCCAGTGATCAACACTGGGGGAGGTGTTGGGGCATGGCACACCACCTTGTCATCAGCATCTCCACTGGGCTAGCTTGGCAGCTCCGTGCTTAACATTCGGGAGTTGGTGGCTCCCATTCAAAGGTGCCTGTCTCTCCCTATTCATTGCATTGGTGGATCGCCGTGTTGTTCCTGTGACTTTCTAGGCATCTAAAGGTTAGGCGCCATGATGCCGAATGCTGCAACGCTCAAGTCCCTTTGTGGATCCGGGCCTAAAACTCTTCTGGCTAATTCCCCTGCGAGAACTGCCCCAAAATCTGTTGCACTCAACCCATTCTGGCAAAGGGAACTGCTGACCTGCAGCAATCCCCATGACTGAGACAAAGGCCCCAGGTAGCCACATACATGTATGTCCAGCTTGGCTTGAAAGGAGCCTCTCTGTAGAAGGAGCATTGGGCTAAATTCTCTGCTGGTGGCGTAACTCCACCGCAGTCAACTGAGCTCTCAGGGACTTTGGCCTCATGTCCGAAGAGGCACCGCTTCCATTTTAGCCTCGACCAGGTCAGCGTCCCAGCTGCACAGGAGGGAAGAGGTCAACTGAAATAAGTTGTTTATCGAAGCACTGCCCTGACATCGCTTGTATCTAAATGGTTTTATTGCTCTTGCACTTGTTACTTAACCCCCTCATTTTTCCTCAGAGAAAGTGGACTAGGACTACGTGCCACTAAGCCACGTTCCCTTGCCTGACTCTCTTGGGTAATTTGCAGTTAGTTAGTTTAACCTCCGACTCGTCCTCGTGTTACATTCTTGGATAAACAGGTTCAAGTGATGCTCTGAGGGCACTTCACCAGCCAGGGATCTTGGTCAGAGGTGCAGGTGACAATCTGACAGGAGTACATACATTCAGAGCCAGATTTAGGGGCAGTTGACCCAGGTGCCGGGATTGGGAGGGTGCCGAGCTCAGGGTGCTGTAAGGTATTCAAAAGTTTAACTAATGTGGGTGGGAGGGGGCGCTGAGGACACTCCTCACCTGGGGCACCATTTGTTCTAGGGCTGCCCTGTGTACATTGGCTTCTGTGTTTCATCTCCTCCCTGTGGCCCCATCATAAGGTGAGCTCGCCCTTGAAGGCAGCTTGGGCTTATCTCTAACTGTCCTGGTTTTCCGCTGAAGGGTGGGGTGAGCCAATGCTGCTGAAAACCTGAGCAGGGGGAGCACAGGACTCGCTAAGAGCGTGAGATTAGGATCACCTGAGTCCAGGCTGGAAGCACGTCTGCTAGAAAAGGGGCTGCCCGCCCTGCACTCTCTGTTTCTGAGAGCGCTGGGGAAAGAGAACCAGGTGGGAAAGTTTACACACTAACTAGGTGAATGGTGTAAGAGAGACTTGCTAAGAAGTGTAGCAGGACTCTCCTGGGAAACCCTAATGGCAAGGGAAAGCAGTATGGACAACCCCAAGCATGGACGCACCACAAGGCCCCAAAAAATCATGATCGGTTTAAAAATCTAGGGAATTGAAAATAATAATAATATATGCTGGGTCCTTTTTTTTTCTTGCTGAGCCTGTTGGGTACAGTCAAGTCATGTTTCCCCCCAAAACCAGGAGGGCTAGAAAGTTACTTGCCCCCCCTCCCCACACCCCTCCAAAGAAAGAAAGCTGAGATTCTCACATCATCAGGTGACTCCAGCAGGTGGAGCTTTAAGAAAACACCAAATATTGTGACACTCATGTTTAAATTGCAAAGATGACAACAAAACAGATTATGCTTAGGTGAGCCAAGTGAACTGGTTTTGTTTTTTTTATTTCTGGCTCAATAAAGCAGGAATCAAGGGGGGGGGTTAAATTGAATCACCTGTGGTGGGTGTGTGAGTGCCTCAGGGGGCAAAGAAGGAGGGGAACTGAGGCACAGCAGTGCTCCCAGACTGGGGTGGGAGTGGTGCCCAATCACCCCTGCCACTCCCCTCCCCACACACACATATACACACACACACACACACACACACACTCTTTTCCAAGGTGGATCTGAGAGGCTCGCTGAGGAACTGCCTCATCATCTGTGACCCACCCGGGTTGCTCTGCCCTGAGAGACTGTTAGTAGTAGAATGTTGGGAGCCAGAGGGAAGGTGTCAACGCTGGCTGTGGGGCCGGGAATGTGCTTTCCTTGGAAAAGTCAAAGACAAAAAGACCTGCAGCTCCATCACCTGCTGGATCACCGGGTCAGGTTTGCCTGATCTGCTGTAGTAATATACAGGCTGAAAGGCACTGAGCAAAAGCCAAAGCAAAAAAACCCAACCATCTCCTAAGGGGAATGCATGGTTAGCTAGGTTAATAGGTACCCAGCATTTGCAGTGTTAGTATCTGTACTGGTATTACAGTAGCAGCCAAGTGGACTAGGCATTGCACAGACACCTAGAAAGGCACAATCCTTGCTCTGAGGAGCTCAGTCTTAAAACAAAAAAAATAAAAAAACAAACAGACTGTCCAGGTCTGTCTGCCTATAGACTCTGCTTTCAGATCAGCTCTAGACACTGATGCCTCCTAACGTTCAGAAAGCAGAAGGCACATCCTGAGACATGCCTGTGAAGTGAATTACAGGCGATGGGGGAGAAATGTCAAGATTTTCCTTGATGCACAATGGGCTTCAAAATCCATGTTGAGGAAAAACGGTGACGGGGATATAATTAGTGAAGCTGAGGCACTGTGTGATGAATGCCACACTTGGTATGAGGGAGGTGTATGGGCAGCAGAGCTCTGGGTGATGAGCACTGGAGAAGCAAGCGTAGCTGTGGGTGGAGACTGAGATGTCCTGGCAGAGTTTGTGGACCCCAGTCCCTGGAACAGCTGGCAGTCTGCTCACAAGCAAACAACATGTTCACTGTGGGCATCTGAGGGTTTTAAAAAGTTTGCATTGTGTTAGCCTCATGCCTAACAAGGACATCTCTGGGTTAGTTCTATTTTTAAGGCATCCAAGAAAGAGAAGAACAAAAAATAAAATACTTAACAAGATTTCTAGCTCTGATTTATTGGTACTTAGCCAGTAACAATTGGTCATGGGCATTGTGTATTTCACAACAAAGGGTTAATGTAGTTAACATTGATGGAGAAAATACTGCATTCATTTCATTGGTATGTTTATTAGTAATATTATCTCCCTTACTTTGGGGGGGGTCCTTTACCCGTACTCCCCAAAGGATTTATATTGCTTCCTCTTTGAGAGCAAGAATGAAGAACTTCCCAGAGAAATCAGAGCTGTCATCGATATTATCATCCCTGACGAGAACCTCAAACTCCTGAATGATGAAGCCAGTTTCACTGAGGACTTCTCTCAGAAATTCCTCTCTCAGCACCAAACACGAGAACCTTTTGGGGCCAACCATGTAGAAACTGCAGCCCAAAACTCCACTCAGCACCAAGTGTCCTCCTGGCTTTAACAGGGAGCTGATGTTCTTCAGAGCAATGCGATAAGTGGTCAGATCTTTGCAAGCAGCTTCCAAGCACA